GTATGCTACCAGACCCTAAAAAATCAGCATTAATTTCTAAAAAAAGGCAAAAATTCAAGTATAAATCTTGATCCTCTGAGATAGCTTCAGCTCATTTTCCTCATAGTTTTGGCAAATTTCCAAGACGATATGCCTGTCTGGCAATATTGAGAGCACTTATTATTTACTATACTAATTGGTGCTGTAAATATCACCTTCTTAAGCGATTGAACAAACCGAAATTCTATATCGCAACAGAAAAAGCGAGTGAAACTTATGAGGCTGTGGATGGGATGCTCTTTGGCGTACCTCAAACTCGGTTCTAATTGGTCAACCAATCAGAGACGCCGCATTCGTTCCAGCCAATAAGAAGCGCGCCGAGAATGTCTGCCGTGCTCCTGATTGGCTGGCTACCAGCGATTCACACTGGAGCATCCCACCCACGTCCCCAGTGCGAATTCTGCATTTTGCTTCCAATTTTGACCCATAAAAACTATAATCATGGCCTTTTTATCCTTTGAATGAACCTTTTTCAGCGAGAATCTTTGAAAACCCTGAAAAACCGTCTGCAGAGTGCCCAAAAATGTTTTGGTGTCTATTTTGAAGTGATGTGTGAACCGTGTTAGTACTACTACTGGTTCTAAATCTATCAAAGAATATTGATGGTGCTGGACAACCACGAACTCTTTTGCTGTTCCAGCTCTCGAGCGATCTTCAATCGGCGATAGCTGGCACGTAGTCGATCGGCTGTCGATGTTGTCAGTGAATTCGGATGTGAACTGTCGTTAACGGACTGGAACGCCTTCACCACTCGAATCTGTAAGAACCTACTAAGTGCATGGCATGCTTTTGTCAATCATTATCACCTACACGCACACACAGAAATAATAAAAAACAGCGACAATGTGAAGTGGTCCTGAGCGGAATAGCTCACACACGTGTTGTTAGTTGAACACACTTTTTGCACATGGGCCAGAAAGTGAGTGCTTGGGTTTTTTCCCTAACTTGATGGAAAATCGCTCAACTCAGGACAAAAGATAAGAAACTGAAAAGATAATCTAGAAGGTGCAGCGCAGTGATAAGCTGGAAAGTTCATAGCACTGGCCAGTTCAATAGTAAGATCTCCTTTCAGGACGGAGGTAGACTAAGGAAATTGCTTACCGAACAATGGGAAGCGGAAAGAAAGGACCCTTCCACGTTTATTCTATGCAACAACCCAGGCCTTTCATTTGGATGAGGTACTTGGGCCCATGATCGTAGGGGTAGTGCGACTTTCGCGATTGGGAACGGTGCTTGGGTTAGGACAAGCAAGACATGGGAGGAGCATCATAGCCCATGCATTTATGCACGCCCACCGTTGCGAATGCCTCAATGTCTGCGTCTCGCCTGGCTCTTACGCTCTCTCATCAAAGCCCTTTTCTCGCCTCAGCAACCGCTACTCTTGGAGTCGCTCGACTCGAGCTCAACTGAAAACCTCGAAAGCTCATCCACCGTCCCCAGAAGGAAAATTATGGATTTCAGCGTATTTACTTTTTTATTCAGCTGATGGCTCAACGGGAGCGTTCTACCACCTTATATTCAAATACGGACGCTTTTCTTCTTACAGTGTCGCCAGCCTAATTGCTTGCCGACCGAAGATTCAAATTTTGGTAAGTAAGGAATACCACAGTTTGTTTTCGTCAAACTGTAGAAGAGCGGTTCCCATAACACGTAGCATTACAGTATGAAAATTTCGAGGCATTCCTCAATTAAAAGACCTGGCCCAGACATGAGGGGCCACGCTAGATGCCTGCGGTAGGTACGGAGATTGGAGACTCATCCGTACCTTCTCTAACCATATACGTACATTCATGCAATTATCAAGACCCCCAGTTTGAGATGCGAGCATGTTCTAGGTTTCTAAAACACAACCGGGTACACCATTTAGTTTCTGGAAAGTCCTTGTCCAGTGTTGGAGCACACAGCACATATCCCTAGGATATTCAGGGCCGCGGGTTGGATTGGGGGGCATAACTGCGCATTTAATGGGCGACGATTTTGCAAAAATCAGCAGTTTTCATCGAAAGCAGGCACTAGTTCTTTTGCAGGAACCTGAGGTGTGCAACCGTACTCTAACCAAACTTCCTGGCTTTTTTTGAAGAATCTAAGAAAATCTAAGAAATTATTCTGTGAGTGCTAAAGTGCATAAATTAGACACGAATTCGCTTCTAACCCAACAATTAGCAAATTATTAGTAGGTGATTGAGAAAATCAAATGGTGCCTATGTACTGTACCTGTGTTTGAAGTCTAGTGAGACCAAGTAACCAGAGCATTTGACCGGGACGTTTCTCCTGGAGACCGTCCGGTTTTGGTGCCATCGACGACGACGACGGTGCGTCGTAATCGCCGGTGAGCAGAATTGACGTCGGTTTCACTTCTCCTTTACCGAATCGGAATGATTTCGGCAATATCGACGACGGTATCGTCGTGACGACCTGAGGCGTAATGAAAACTAGCGTGTATCAACAAAACGAACTGAACTAATGTGACTAAATGGGACTAATTCCCATAAAAAACGGTGCTCTATCGAGGCAACGCTCAGGTCCGCAGAGATGTTCAACGAAATCAGAACTTTTTAGTAAACGAATGTATCGAAAAAACTCAGTTTTCTAATCTTTTTAAAAGACTTCCTAAAAGGTACGAACGCTGACGAACGTGTAGCTTCGAATTTCAAAATCTATAAAAAACATTTTCTGGGTCGAACGCCGCTGGTACACCCAGCAGAGGGGGGGGTGGGGGAGGGTGACCGGGAGTGTTGGGCCATGGGCATCGTCATGCCGAGGGCCCAACACAACCAGCCACCCCCTAGTCTCTCTAGGACTAAGCCCAAGAAGGAATAGAGAGGGAGAATTGTGAATCATTCTCGTTTTCCCCAAAGTTCATCCTCTAGCTCAGTCCGCCCCCCTAGAACACTACGCCACTTAAACATCTCTCAAGCAAGTATACTGTGGTCCAAATCAAATCCAAATGCTACTACGATCCTGAATGGAAGTCGGATGCGTGGCGCAACCCAAAAATGACTAGTCGACTCCGATCGTAATTCTTTTTTTACTCCTCATGTGAACCTTACCTTGGCTCTCTATCGAGTTTCAGGTTCACAATTGTTAAAGAGGAAGGATAGAGCATTTGCTAATGATAAATCCCTTTTTGAGTGGCACCAATTCCACCTACATCCATTCTGAAACAAAAGTGGGAAAATAAATCGCATGAAAAATTAGGCACGAGAACATATTCCGGGAAAATCGTGACAGG